CTTGTCATTAATGACATCCTGGAGGAGCTGGAAAGGAGAAGGTGTCTATGCCGCTGACGTGACACTTAGTGTCAGAGGTAAGTTTCTGAACACTCTGTACGACTTGTGCAGGGATACATACATTTAGTCACAAACTGGTCTGCAAGTTGCGGGCTCGCTATTAATCCTGGCAAACACTTGTGCTTTCTGATTAAGTCAAATACTTGGGAGTGATTCTTGACAGAAAACTAATGTGGGGACCATATATGGAGGAACGAGTGAGAAAGGCATCGGTTGCCCTTTGCTACTGTAAAAGCGCTATTGGAAGGAGATGGGGTCTCCCCCAAGGTTATTTAATGGCTGTATAAAACCTTTTTAAACCTATTAATGTCGCTGCATGGGACCATTGTCTGGTGGAACTAACTGGAAAGGTCCACGTTAGCCAAGCGGATAGAACGGGTGTAAAGGGCATCCCTAATTGGTATTGGTACCAGTGGACATTGCATGCAAAGCTATCAGACTGAAGCAAGCTGGATTCTCTCTCTCCGGCGTTTGGGCACTCGGCTATCTTAGGAGAATTCTACTTCATACCGATAGAAACTGATCGGTATGTACCAAGGATGGCTCCGAGAGCGAGATTTCCCCCTCAAAGCAACGTATAAGGAGGGGTGGTCTCTGGAGCAAAGGGCCGGTGAATATCTTCACTGACCTCTCTCTCTAAAAAATGTTGTTTTGTTTGTATTGTTCATTTAGTCTGAGTACATAAGTTTTCGTTTTCATTTAAAATATCTATGCAAACATACATACATATTTATGTATGTATTTTTGTAGAGATGGGCGTATGTACCTATGTACTTATTGAGTTCGTACGATTTAGAAGATACCCTTGCAAATACGTATCTTTTTACGCGGATTACCTTTTTACGCGGTGTATTGTAGAAATTGGACCGCATAGGCTGATTTGCATGAAAATTAATATATTTTTAGGCGGCGTTTTTGCGCGTACATTTTTGGTCCCAGTTAACCGCGTAAAAAGAGGATCAGCTGTACTCGTATAAATATGCGAACGATTAGTTATAGAGTAAGTACAGTCTTAAATGCTATGTATACAAGTGTAGTGTTGATTATGTACACTTCAACAATGTAAATCAATACAAGAAAGTTTTCTACATTTACACTGCCGGCAAAAAGTATTGGCAAAGCAAATTTTTTACAATATATGCAACAAATTTTTTCCTAAAATTTTTCCGCCAATTTTTTATAAAAATATGATTCATTCTACAACAAAAAACATTAAACTATAATTCCTAAACTTTATGCAAAACTCACGAAAATTCTACAAATTTCCATTCATTTTTTTAATCAGTTTTTCTAGAATTTTTTTGAGTATGTAAATTTGCAGCCCAATTGTATTATATTATTATAATAAAGTTTTGCTTTTTTTTACGCAGTCTCTTCCATACAAAATTTTTTGTTTCGAAAATAATTTATATAGAATAAATGCAAAGCACCTTTAACAAAAAAAAATTCTCAAAAATCAATGCGATTTTTGACTAACTCCGAAGTTGCAGCTTTTTACTAGAATTTAATGGGCTGCAAAGCTGCACACCCAAAATAATTCTAAAAATTTGATTTAAAACTTGAAAATTTGCATGACAATTTGCTGAATTTTCGGGAGTTTTACAATAAGTTTAGGAATTATATATGTATTTTTTTTTTGTTTTAGAATGAACTATATTTTTATAAAAAATTGGCGGAAAATTTAAAAAAATGTATGCATATATTGTGACAAATTTTCTGTGCCAATACTTTTTGCCGGCAGTGTACATATCGCTCATTTACTTCAATATGTAATAATTCAAAAAATACAAGTACTAAGTCAAGTACGAAGAAATTAACGCTGCCTCTTCTTCATAGAGTTATTGATTACCATTAGTTCACTAGAACGAGATATGTATTCAATTTTACTATGGGAGTATATGTAAATTCAAAACTTTAAAGCGGGTTTTCTCGATTTTGTGTTTTTTTTTTTGAGTTATGACACTATTGAAGTAAATAAACAATATGTATATGTGTGGACACATTTTATACTGATAAGAGGCAGCCGCAAGTTGTAAATGAAGGGTCATTTGATTCTAAGGCCTCTGAAAGTAGTCGCATTTGAAACGTGAGTTAAGAAAGCGACTCGTTTTCTCAGTCAGTGCAAAAAAGTAACAAAAAAAAAAAAAAAAANAAAAAAAAAAAAAAAAAAAAAAAAAAAAAAAAATACATTCATGTTTCTCTACATAAAATTTGAATTTATCTTCATATTGCTACAATGTCTGTTAACCGCTGCAATTCCGTCGGCGAGGGAAGACTCTCTACAACGGTATGACATTGAAAATCAACAGTCAAATGACATTTGTTTAATATTAATGGATTTTATACAAGAGCTACTGAAGAAACTGCAGAAACTTCAGCCAAATCACTATCGCCAGCATTTTCGACATCATGCTGTCACAACAACAACAACACGTGCGACAAGTGCCTCACGAATTAATGTAACACCTATCAGCGTACGACGGAATATCAGCAGTTTCGTGCCTATCTCCACTGCCACCCCAGCCAATGCCCCTTCTGCTCGTTACAATGCAACAAAGCCAAAGTCTGAGAAGGTGATACTGTACACGAAGAAACGCAAATGTAATTATCATCGCCGACGATGTTGAATAAAAGGCGCAGATAGGGAAAAGTATTTATATGTGTATTGAAATAGTATATATTTTAATAAGTAAACAATAATTGAACTGAAATAATAAAAAAAACTAATTAATAATGGAATGACAGTGGTACATATGTATATTTGCGAATATTTTTCTATTTTGAAACATAAATAAACGAACAAAAGTATTATGAGATTATCAAATTTATTTGTTTTGACTCCGTTGAAATGGTTTCAATAGAAGCGGGATTTCGCAGCAAAGTCTCAATCAAATCCAATTTTTATGTACATAAATATACATATTTATTTTTTTAACCCATGTAAGTAGTGACCATGAAAAGCAGCCTCACAAACTATATATTTGGCACTGAGGATGGCACAAAACCAACATAAACAAAGTGGGAGTTTCCCAATCAAAGTTGGCGAAAATTCGTTCTTGAGTACTTCTATAATTGAATTAGCGCGTGTGTTCATCTTGGCGGAGAGATGTGCGATTAAGAACTTGTTTACTCTGATTTTTCATACGGGCAAAGCCACAGCCTTATTATCCATCTTGAACGATAGGCCACACGAACGATTTGTCTGCAGACGTCATCGTTTCTCCTTGAAATTTTGTAACCCTATCGAGTCATTTCATCTTACTTTGCGACGATTACGTTGAACTTGTCTCGGTTACATTGAAACCAGGGCCGAATTGCACCAACGACTTATCACTTATCACTTTACAACTTTTTTTGATAAATTGGCTGCCTTGAAAATTATTAAGGAAAAAAAGCAAGTCCGTCTTGACTATCATATGTATGTTTATATAAATAACTATATTTTTCTACATTTAAGAACTATTTATTTGGATCTTTCCAAAATAATTCAGTAACAAAAACAAAAAAATCACATTGCATTAATTGAATGATTTCCATACCGGTTAACAAATTGGTACTCAGTAGCTTTCGGGGCGTCTATATATATCATAGTTCCATCAATGCACCCTGCGACTTAAGGAAATCCACCAATGTTGAAAAATTGTGTGGCAATATTTTTACGTAAATTCCGGCCAACAAATAGTTTCATCCATAAATTTGTTTATCAGCGCCCTGGGATCGCTGATGGCAAGATAAAAAACTAGTCGGACACTGCGTGACCTCTCTCTCTCTCTATTTCCTTGGATTACCCCCATATCAGACTGATTTGGGTTCCGGGCACAGCGGAATTGCACCTGAAATGGGTGTTATTGGAGTACCTATGGCAACCTGTGGACTGCTTCTGGACAAATAAGCTGTTAGTCGGATATAAGCATTAGTTCCGAAAGCCAGGCGGCAGTCAGGGCCCTTGGTTCTTTGATGATTCGGAAACGCTTTGCACTTTGGTGGTATTGCCGCCGAGTAAGGAAATGGTTGGGCTCCACTAACTAAATGTAGTGCGCTTCTGAACAGGTGGGCTTTTAATTAGATGACTGAATGCCGGCTGAAAACCTTGGAAGGAAAGGTGGCTAGCTCCTTTTGGCTACAGGATGACGATCGGCAACCAAGACACTCTTAAGTGAGCTGACGTCAAATCTCTCGTTACAGTAGCGGCTTCTAATCGGTCATTGTCCGATCGGAATTCATGTAGTTTAACTTAACATCACCTCAAGCTGCCGAGACAGCTGTTATATGGAGTATGAGGAGGTGAATCATATCAAGCTTTGATGCTCAGCTCACTTATTTCTCGCCACTTAGGAATTTTCGGTGATGGAGATCAGCAGCTCGCAAGCCCCGTGGGAGAACAAAGCAGTTTTGTGCCACATACCCTACGCTCAACTTTAAGCATGGGTTATCTTTCGACGGATTAACATTCCTAAGAACCACACACATACACAACGCATAGTACGAGTACATACGTCGCAAAATCAAGAACGAATCTTGTAAGCTTTGCCAAGCCTAATCAGTTCAAGGAGCATTGGTTACTTTCATTAAGTCTTATTTTTATTATGCCACATTTAATAACGTTTATGTTGCTTGTGTATCCACTACACTATACTTATGTATATAAATTTTATGACAAGAAAAGGTATAAAGACAAAAGCGCTATCATTTATCTAGATGCTGACTCAACACTTTGCCACAGTAATTAGAGCATAAAAATGATTTACTTCAACGCAAAGTACTTGCCACAGCATACTTACGTATGTATGTATGTAAATGCACATATAAATATTTACGTATGTATATATGTATGTAAGCTCACGAAATTGTCACGGCTTATTGGCCACAAGGCATTATTATGTCACAGATTTGCTTACATTTACATTTACTCGCATGCAACGTCGGTATTAATGGCAGTGCAAATAATACTCGTTGTATTCAAATGCGAATTATATTTTATCTTAAAATAATTAAAATTAATTTAAAAAGAATAACTTTTTTGACATACATAAATCCTAGTATTTATGTTTGGCATTTTAAATAAAAAAAATGTATTTAGTTACTACGTAGGGAATCTAAGCGGCTTTACAAGCATTTTATTAAATTGCGATGTATGCTTGTTCGGGTAAAATCTTGAAATCAATTATTAACCCACTTCTAGCTAGACTTGAAACTAAACTCAGAATGATAATGCAATACGAAAGTCGAAGATAATTCGATATAATATTATAAAAGTTTTTTTTCGTAATAATTATGAAAATTTAATTTTAACTTCTTAGGCAGGTGGCAACCCCCTTAAAAAAATTGTTAAACCAAACATTTTTTAAATCCCTGCTGAAGTCTAGAAAAAGAAGTCTGATGAGGAGATGTGGTGATCTCCGGAATAGTGCTATAACTTCTACCGCTTAGACTTTGTTGCTTTTTCAATTTTTCCTAATAAACAATCGTGGCACAAAGCTCAATAAAAATATATTAAAAATTAAATATCTTTCGTTTGGCATTAATTTTGTACGATTATGTTGAACCTACAATTTGAATTGAATTCCAATTTTTAAGCAGGTGGCAACGCTCATCAAAAAAAAAATGTCCTGTAAATTAATCAACGTCTGTGCTATTTGCGTGAAAAATTTTATCCACATACATCCTGCCGTTTTAACGTACAAGAACAACAAATATATTCGCTCACTCACAAAGTTTGCCATTTATCGCATTTTGTAAAAAAATAAAACTTTTGATTTAACACAATTTACACCTTTTCGTGTGCACTCAATCAATTCTTAGAGATACACAGTTGTTGATCATCGATGCAGGTTTGCTTACAGTGACTCAAACAAACCGTCCAAAGCTTTAACCACAAACATATAAATCACAACAAATTTTAATCTAAACGTCAACTTTTTAATCTGAATCTTGAGAACATTTTTGGGTATGCAGTTTTATAGCCCATTATTTTTTTTTTTTTGGAGACTGCTTTTGTGGTGATTTTTATATAAAAAGTGCAGCTTGAAAAAAATGGCATTGATATTTTGAAATTTTGTTGCTAACGGTCTCCCGCATTTTATTTCATTAGAAATTCATGCATAATTCCAAAAAAGTGCAAAAATCCGTCACCGAAAAGAATTCTCAAAAATCAACGCGATTTTTTAGCCGGTTGAAACTTGCTCTTCATTAGACTAAAATTATATTGGCTATAAAACTGCTTACCCACAATTGTTCTAAAGATTCAGATTAAAAAGTTTAAAATATGTCGAATTTTCCGAAATTTTTTATAAAGTTTGAAACCTTGTTTTAGGTGGTTTTGGTTAAAGCTGGGACGGTATTTTTATACAAAAATAACACTAAATTTAGCTTAAAAAAACATTACGAATATTACGAAAAAAAGGATACGCGTAATTTTTTGTTACAAAAAAAAAAATTATATTTAGAACTGCAACAAAGCCCATGATGTTTTCCGTGTAGGATTATTTTTTATATGGGGGAAGAATACTTTTTCGTAGAAATGGCATATAATTTCTGAGAATCAATATTCTTTCATCGGACAGTAGACTAATACCGAATTGTTTATTTTACGATTTTTAATACCAACGATTTTTATGACTCTACATTGCATTTATTAGGGGTTTTTGGGGGACTTATTAAAAATACATCATATTAAAAAAATTTTTAATAAATAATGGGGTGGTGTCCCCTTAAGCGAAATATAATTTTCTGATCGAAAAATATTGATTTTCAAGAATTCTATAACATTTTTAAGAATAAGGGGTTTTTCTCCATATAAAATTCATCGCATACTTCATAAGGCTTTGAGGCAGTTCTAAATATTTTTTTCCCTTAAAAAAAATACGGGTATTCTGGCTTAACATTTTCAACTCCCCCCCAAAACATGTATTTTGGGACCACCTTAATATACAACCATGGTATTTCAATCTGGCTACTGCGGTACAGGCATACATGTGTAAATATTTTTTACTCCATTTTTCTTATGCAACTTTTGAACTAAAATAATGAATCCCCTAAAATGTTGTTACCAAAATGCGTAAGTTTATTCATTCATTTCTATGATAATTGATTTGACCGCCAGCTACGTCGTCGCAGCAATTTTGCAAAATCAGTTGAAGGCTCTAATGTAATAAAGTCACAAATAAATATCTTTTGCTCCACTGCTTTAAGGAAATTTATGTCGAAATACTTTTTATTTTTACTTTTATTTTTGCTTGGTTTACGTTTTTTTTTTAATTATAATCGCTTTTGATCCAAACCTCTGGTCGCTTGCAACACATATGCCATAATTTTTTTTCGGCAAATTTTACTTTGATTTTACTGCATCCATTGATGTTTATCTTCATTCACCTTTTTCGCTTACAAAATGCAAACTATAATTTGGCACATTTTTGTGCATATGCAAATATTTCATCTATAAAGCCATATACATACATACATATATGTATATCAACATATGTAGCTGCATATGTACCTATAATGTACTATGTATTCAGGTATCTACATATGTACCTACACAGTTATTATATTGTTAATTAAAATACGTAATCCACGCTTTTGCAGATTTGCAAATTTTTTGCGTTTTTTTGACATAAAATATGTAAATATCAAAATATTGTACGTAAACATGAGGGTGTTCGATTATTCATATTTTTTGCAAACCCGGCTTTCGAGTTATTCGAAAAATTGCAAGTTGAAAAACATGGG